GTGCGAGGAGCTCCCCGCGCAGCGTTTTCTGGGTTTTAACCAAACGTGACGTGAAGGCCTGCTGTCAGAATCTGTTATTGAAATAATAAGGAGGGAGGGGGACTGGCCTGTTGAAGGTCTTGAAATATACGCATTTTCAGTATTTCTGGCAAAGCACGCCCCTCCATCCAAATTTCTGGGGGGAGGGGGTCACCTTCCATTGCCTACGCCCTTGCTGACGCGAATAAACCAAACTTGATTTAAATCTGAGTGATCACTCACTGGTTTTGCGTCAACTGAGTAGTTGTGTCCATGTCGTCAGCTTACCAAGCACGCCGACTATACAAACTAAAGTCTAGAAGGCTTCTAGACATCTTGCTTCAATATGACATCTATACTCGTATTAGAGAAGGTGTAAATTTTATTGAAAAGAAGTGCACAATGCGATTAGTTCGTGTGCGCAAGAACAATTCCTTGGCGTACTCTGGCACAAACAAGCGATACTAAATTGTGGCTTGACGAAACGTGGAAGTACATTGATCAGATCTCGGGGTCAAATCCCGGCTGCAACGGCTGCATTTTCGATGGAAGCGGATATGCAGTAGGCCTGTGTGCTCAGATTAGGGCGCACGTTAAAAACACCAGGTGGTCGAAATTTGCAGAGCCCTTCACTACGTCGTCCCCCATAATCATATGGTGGTTTTGGGACGTTATACCTTACATATCAACAATCACTACATTGATACATCACGCTGTCTTGAGAACGGATAGTCGGTATCAAAACCCGAATCGACAGTATACAAGCGTTGCACCCACCAAAAATATTTTTTGCGAAGTTTTACTGCAACCATACTGAACAAGCGTCGCACCCAACAAAAATATTTTTTGCGAAGTATACTGCAACCATACTGAGGAATGTTCATGGGGTGGTAATTGTATCAGTGCTTATAGTTACTAAAAAAACATTCAACGATACATTCCTTGGCTTGTTTCTCACTTGGCTCTCGTTGATATTGTGTCTTACAAAGCAAAGCGAGCCCCCCTCTCTCCTCCACTCATCATGGTGGAAGCCATGATGGGGAAATCATTGTACAGCGAAAGCTGTTATGAGATCACAAGGATCGCGTGTGCCGTAGCTGTCCGCTACCATCAGCGGTGTCCGTAATCACTATCGCGCAAAACAAAAAAATAGAAGCAAGAGAATGACAAACACCATAGACGCAATGGGTTTCAAGCCCGGGTTTCCTGCTTGCCAATACACTATTCAAATACAGTGCCACCCTGGTTCATTTTTTTTCTTTATTAACGGAGCCACTCCAGTGCTCGAGATTCCATTGCAAACTGGCTTTAGGCAATCTTGATGTGGCGAAAAGAATTTCGTCGATTGGAATAATAAATCCTTTAGAACAGCGGAGGAACAACCAGGCGCCAAACAATGTGAATTGCATAACGAGTGGGTAATTAAACGCTTCAACTCATCACAAAAGCTTCAGGCATATTTATTCGTTTTCGACAGCCACGGGGTAGAAAATTTTGCACAAAGTTCTTTGGAAGTGTGAAGAGGGTAACACGCTTTTCCGAATATTAACCAAGGAGGGCACAGGGAATGCCCCCACTACACAAAAATTATGGTTTATGTCGTACTGGGTACGCTGTAAGTGTGCTTTAGCATTACCCAAAAAGTGTTTAACAACGCGTTAAAAGCATTAAAAAGCCGCTTTTCCCAGCTTTTCCTGTGATTGTGCTGCGCGTTCCACGAAGGCCTGGCATTTTTTTCTTGTTGTTTCTACAATTTCTGATGGTCTAAACTTTTGACGCTCACTATTCATAAACAGTTTGCGGCTCGGTTTCATGTCGAGCGATACGAGAACACGCCATAGTTGTGGACAATCATCATCACAGAGATATCGAGCTTAATTTTGCGTGCCAAGGTGATGGCACGTGACCCTCGAGACGGTGGGACCACCACGCGCCGTCGACCGTTCCTGCAGTAGCTGGTGCTGCTCCCGACAGCTTCGTTCTCCGAACCTCGCTTGCGCCTTTGCTCTTGCTCGGAGTCGCACCCTGAACCTCCTCGAAGGGACATCCGAGAGTCGGCGCTCTTCACCTGCCTGCACCAACACGTCTTTTCCTGGAAGGTGGGGCGCAAGTCTGCAGCTGAACGCTGTGTCACCGTTAATTTCGCAAATCATTCGACTCGTCTCCTGAGGTGAGTTCAGTTTTCGATACCGAGCAATGCGTTTAGTTATCGCGTGTATTTCGATGCCTTCTTGCATCTACGAAGGTTGCGGTGGTGTTGAGGTAAACGTTTATGGTTGGTGGTCCGTTCGTCGCGAATACATGACGTTTTCTTCGGGACCATCTATATGGGCAGGACTTGTAGAAAGCTCTCAGGGTCTCTTATGCATTCGCCTAAAAGTGGAGTGATTTTTATATTACTTTAGTGATCGCGAACTCAAGCATGGCCGGAGTGCGGAGGCGCGCGGGCGTTGCCAAAGCGAAGACGAAGTGAACGCACAGCTCGCACACCTCGAGCCACGCTTGAAAGGAACGCTGCTTTCGATTCACTCTGGTACACGTCTGTATTTTGTAGCGTATACGCTACATTGGCCGAGGTTGAGGAATTTTCGCGTGGTTTATCGTGAGAAGTTCTGCGCAAGCGCGAGGAGCAGTGAGGTCACGCGGCACACAGCTGACGCGACGAAGGCCTGGAAGCTCCCGGACTGACGTGGCACTACCGGGCTGGGTAATTATGACTCGTGTCAGATTTCTCGCTTGGTAGTGCCTCCGTCCACCGTCCGTGGTCCTTCCATCTATCCGTCATTGGTTCGCCGGTCGTCCGGTCATCCACCTGTGGTTGTTCTTATGTCCTTAACATGAGTCCGTGGTTCACAGGCTTCAGTCCATTTATCTGTAGTTTGTCTGTGCCTACGTAGCTAACATTGCGTAAATCCTGGTATAGCCGATCATTTTAGCTCCCAACTTCTTCTTTGCTTTGGCGTTCTTACAAAGTCGTGGTCGAAATGACTGCACAACAGTTACTTAAGCAGGTCCTGCCACACTTCAGCAGAATGGTCAGATAACTCTGCCAATAAGTAGTCGATGCACCTGTGAAGAACTGAGCCAAACATGATAGCGCAGCACTTGCATGGTCGAGAGTTTACCGTTTCCAGTCAGCTAGAAAACGATTCTCTTTTCTACAAGGCCATATACCCAAAGGACCATACTACACATCAGAATTCATGACTACTGCCTGATTCGAACATCGTGACCTGCATTCTTAACATGGCCGTCGAGTGAGTTCGCCACGTGTCCAAGCGCACACGCGATCACTTTGAATGTATACGATGCACGTTCGAAGAAAAAAAATGTTCAAGATCATGACGCATGCGTGACGCATCTTCTTTCCCCCGTGTTTAGTTTCCAGCGCGCTCTTCGAGATGATATAAATAGTAATAGTATCTGGGGTATTGCGTCCCAAATCCACCATATGATTATGCGGGGAGAGATAAGAGGGAAGGCAAATATCGCGTTCGACATAATATTGTATCTCCATTCGTACTTGGCAATTTTATAAATTTTTGCAGAGGTCGATTCAGGAGGAAACACAGTTTTTATTGAAGCCATACATTGTTGCAGGAAGATTTTAAGGGCTTCAACATAAATTATTTACTACGTAGTCTAGCGTCTATCGTAGGAAGCTCAAGCCCCGTGTGACATTACGGCTGAGCTCTCGGCTGCCACTGGTGTGAATGAAGTGTCCACCTGTTTAATGGAAGAATAATTAGCGAGGAAGAGACAGTGCCGGAATAGAAATCCTAGCGAAGGAAAGAAATAAACCGCTCGCTGGATCATGTACTCTATGGTTTAGGACCTTCGTACCGTCGCAAACGCTGAGATGAACAGCGAATCTGGATAGACTAAGGCCATCGCAAGGCTAAGAGGAATGGAACATCGCTACACGATTCGTCATGGCTGAGCGGTAATTTACTCATACCGCACTCTCTCCCTTTTTCGATCATTGGGCCGATTACTCTTTGCCGACCGGTATTGTTCGGCGTATTCGAAGCGCATGGCTTGATTTCTCGCGCGGTATTTCGGGAATGTGTATAGTTGACACTCCCACAAAGCTAGGACATCCCTTGGAGCGAACGCGATTTCACACATTTCCCAAACATTTGTAAAACTTTGATCGAGAGCCCTAATCTGTAGGAGATTTTCCGCAGCTGAAGAATGCTTGAACTTGTTGGTAGTTAATATCTGAGGTTTCTGTTTTGTACTGGGATTTCAGTATCAGTTTCAGAATGACACGTGAGGATGCCAGGGGACGCCGCTCTGGCATCTAGGATTTCAAGGCGACTGTAAAATAAAAGGAGTGTGCGTTGAGTAACCGTGGAGTGCGGTTGTTGTTCTTCTCTTCGGCGCTTTGCGCCCACCCGCGTGTTCGGGCTGGTCGGCGTCCCCGCCGGCGGCGTACGTCTCCATCGGCCGTCTTCTTCTTCTGCTTCGTCGGGACGAGCCAGCCCCAGCACAGCAATGGCCACGAGGATAGGATCATTGCTGTGTTGGGGGCTGGCTGGTCCCGACGAAGCAGAAGAAGAAGAAGACGGCCGACGGAGACGTACGCCGCCGGCGGGGACGCCGACCTGCCCGAACACAGCAGTTTCGCGTTCTAAAGCTAAGGTATGATTATGAGAGACGCCGTAAATGGAGAACTCCCGAAATTTCGACGATATCGTGTTTTTTACCGGAATCCGACAACGCACAGTACACCGGCCTCAAGAATTGCGCCTCACTCGAAATGCGACAGCGGCAACCTGCCTCGAATCCAAATATTCCATGAACGTTACGTTTATGTTCACATTGCGTCAACTTCTTATTTGAACCTGAGCTGATGTTTTCAGTTCTTGCTTTGTTTTGTTTTTATTTTTAGTAACTAGCTCTACATTCCAAATTCTCTCGCAGACTGCCTCCTAAAAGACTGAAGGCGCGGTCCGGGTAACAAGGGCGCGGAGGTAGTGCTGTGCTTCGACCAGCGGACCTGCTGGACCTCCTTCGATTTGGCCAGCGAGGGTGCCGAAGACGATGAAACGCGAAGTTTCACGACGCCAACTCAACATCAATTGGTCAACCAGAAAAGGCGGACGAGACCAGTTTGCGACCACAAACGTCCAAGGCTACCCCGTCACCACTGCCGAGTACATCGTGAACGACGTCTGCGATGTTCGCTGGATGTCGGCCGTGTGGTCAATGCAAGAGAGAGTGCCTCAAGTCAAAGAAGACGTCCATGAGACGTCCAAAAACGGGACAAGAGAGATCGCGACGACTGCGGCCACTCGCGGACGCGTAGCCTCACAAGTATACCTCGCTCGTGGCCACGTGGTCACAGGCGTCATCGACGTATTCCAGGCGACCACTGCCAATCATGAAGGATGCCGAGGTGCACAGAGTGATCAAAAGGTTCGCCAGTCGCCCGAGATTGCGGAGGTATACGTCCAAATCGCACACGACCAGGTCAACACCATCGGGGACCTCAACACGGAAAAGGTCTTACACCGAAGGCAAGGTACAACGGCAACCTCGGTAAATGTCGATCACCCTTCGCGGAACGGCAGCCATGGCACCTTGGAGGCTGTCGACACCGATTCCGCCGACGACTCCTTCTGGATCTCGGTGTTCACGAAATACCGGCGACGTGACCCGTGCGGTTTGAGTCCTCTGCATGATCTGCGGGCACCGCGGCTTCCCGGCTTTACGGAGTGGCTTCCCGCAAAGTGGTTTCTGCTGCACCATCCAGGACCAGCCCCAACGAGTCCGTTGATGCGAGGTCACCCGGTACGAAGACTCCACACGCAGACACTGTGCATGACATCAAGTCGGGAATTCCGATTTGCGTTGTCAGCACCACGATTCCACCGGTGAGATCATAAGCTCACAAAATAAAAGGGACAAAAAGTTATCGACACTATAATTAGGACATCAAAAAAGATTTCACACCTTCTGTTTCGTTAGCACGTGTTTGAGTTGATTTTGCACGGGTATCCTTATGGCGGCACATTACCGCCACCTGAGCCGTCCGTTACAAATAGTATTGAACACTAACCTTCTATTCCCGCCCTCCCCACAAAAGTATTTCATTATACAGTGATGTTCTCATTCGAACATAACAGGTACGACCACGGGCGGCGTCAGGCGAACCCTGGGTGGCGTCCTGTCGGCACGCACGTCCCACCGGGCCGCGTGGTGGCTCGCGACCGAGGTATTGTAGCCGTGCTCCAGCATCGAAGACGCGGAGTTCACCTTGGAAAGCCGAGAGCCCACGGGATGCCCGGACGACGCAAGGGAGCTCCGCGTGCCGTAGCAGCTCCTAAACCTAAGACGCCTGCTGGGCTGCAATACATGTCTAGCCTCTCCTCTGCCACCGTGGTTGTCATCGTCGGCGTCGTCGTCGTCCTGCTGCGAGGCGGGAAGAGCTACGCAGTCGTAGGGCGAGCGCAGAGACGACAGTTTCCGGTCGTCCCAGAGCGAGAGGCGACCAGCGTGATGCGTCTGCGGCCGCCGACCCCGCGGTGCATGACCGCGCGGCGCGAGTGCGAGTGTCCAAGCCACCATGGTCGCGACCTCGACCGCTTGACGGCGCCCCAGGTGAATTGGCAGTTTCTGGAGAAGTAATGTTGTTGGGCCACATCCACACTCGATCATTCGCTCATAGATGTCGAGGGTGCATTTTTATAAGAGAATCATGTTTTCTCTCACCAGAGTTGCACTCAGAGGCGTTTAGCAGAACTGACGAACCCTAGGTAAACGCCTTAGCATCTGTCATCCCCACTTTCCAGTAGAACTGCCAAATGTAGAACTGAAAGTGTTAGGGAATCCCGGTGTAGCGAGTAGAGCCTGGTTGCAAAAGTGTAGTGACGTGGAGAGGGCGATGCAGGGTAGAAAGGAGGAGAGCGCAGGCAAAGCTATGGCTGGAGTGAGCTATGTGGTGTGGAAAGGAAGAGCGGCTGATCGCCGTCCTTGAAAACCTGATGGTATCGCATTCGATCCGGATCGTTCGGCACTGGCCAAGTGAAAAGAGGTGTTGATTAAGCATCTGTTTAACACCAAGAATGGCAATTTAACGGCATATTCAATAGGCAAGCGTGATGTTAATTCAGTGTATGCTGCGCATGATCTTTAACAGCCGTGGATGTTGCTTTGTTTCAGCAACCATTTCTTGCTCCTTTTCCTGTGCTCTAAATGCATCGTCTAAAAAAACACCCCCCCCCCCTTCCGCCTTCCAAAGATCATTTGGCTTAATTTGGATCCGGAATCCGATGCTGTCCATTTCTCTTGCGAGTGCTCAACGTCACACTGGCAGTGCCAAGCTGTTCTTGATCTGGAAGCACAGGGTGCGCGGCGTCAACGCTGGAGACAACACGCGAGCCAGATGGCTGTCACACCGTAAGGCATGAAGACACCCCAAAAACACCCATTGATTTCAAATAGAGGCTGCTGCCTCTCTGTTCAGTAAATTACGGCTCATGGCAGCACACACAGAGTACACAACCTTTTAGAGAAAAATATTCTTGAAGGAAGGAACGAAGTGTAGTTGCCTAAAGATTTCTCTAGTTTTGAAAGTTCGGTATTAACACCTGACGATAATCCATTCTACCGTCTACCTTTTGCTGTGTGATGCTTTTGCATAAGCGAATCGATCGCCCCTGCCTGATCGGGTGCTATTGTTTTTTATCGTTGCACTAAGCGGGCGTTAAACAACCTATGTGTTGCCTACATAGAGGATGCTATCCCGTAATAAAAATAATTTCTCGTTTACCTATCGTCTTACAAACTAGCCCACAACTGCGTTTTAAGCATGTTTATTAAGACAGTTTCAATTGTTTCTTCAGTACGCCTTTGCCGGTCAATCACGGTGGATCAGTGGCACGGTGCTCGGCTGTTGAGCCGAAGGTCGCGGGGTCGATCCCGGTCACGAAGGTTTCCTTTCGGAAGAGGCGAACCAGCACAGGCCGTGCACAATGCGATATCAGTGGACCTGTGGAGAGCTCTATAGATGGTGAAATTTTCCAGAGCCCTCCGCTGCGGTGCGCTTCATAATCACATCGTGGCTTTGGCGCGTTGAATTCCAGATATAAAAGTTATTTGGTATGAGAGAAGGTTTTAAGGAGAGTATTGTTTTTAGGTCGGTATAGTGGGCCTATGCAAGGGCTCCTCTAATTAGTAAATCCCACTAACAACTTAGAATTTACCTTTTTTGAGCTCGCTGGTGTCTTTGCTTATGGTTTATGTACGCAAATGCCTGGAGTGCACTTTGTCGTAACAACATTATGGCAAGTTACGTATTCTTTCTTTCTGGTGAAATTAACATTGTTTGCTTCCAATTTTTGTTCTTGATGGTACGGTCAATCACAGGAAAATATGGAGCTTAAAACAACCTGCGGAGATGTCTTGTATTTACTAGAACGAATTGTATTTGCACTAAAACAAGTCAGTTAGTTCTTCCAGTAACGAAAGCTCCATGAGCCAGCCGCTATCTCTGGCAGCAAAGTCTCATGAATTTAGTTACCGTGAGTCATCAATGAATATTAGTATAAAGAGGCCACCTAGCGCTCCAACGTTTTCGTTAAATAAGCGCGTCTTTCGTTTTTTGTGTTGCATATACACTTGGTTTTCTTGGTCACGCCAGTTATGTTTCTTTCATAGACTACCCGAAGTAAGCAATGAATGGTCCGAGCAACTCAACTTCTTGCTCTCGGTGTCACCTAGAATACTGACTAACTTTGTTCTCCTGTCGGCATTACTGACGCTTTCGTGTATTTATAGATAATGACGTATATTCCCATTCGTTTTGTCACTCACTGCACTGTCTCTGAAGCATCGTCTATAATCGGCACAAAGTTAAGACGCTATTCGCGACCGAAGTGAAGAATTGTACTCTTTTGTTTGTATACGGAAGGTACAACCTGGCGGACGCGAGCTGTCAATGCCTATACCCAAAAGTTTGTTTATTGCTCCTGTTTCGCGCGCCCACTGTGTAAAGCATAAGCTCTGCCCACAGAAACTACAGGAGCTGCGTTAAATGTTGGGCGTCACTACGTAAAGCATTTACTTTGGCTGAGCAACGGTGTGAAAGCTACCAGGTCGTTCAAGTTTCTTGCATAAAACCAGCTGTACGAACGTGTGCCTTGGAAAGTCAACTCTCTGAAACACTCGACCGCTGCGTCAAGTCTCGGAATTGAGGAAGCGCTACTGGAGGCAGGATTGTAGCCAAAGGTGTGCCTTAGTTCCCCCGCCCCCATCCCAATCAATTCAGATGGTGTGGTGTGAACAAGTGAGCTCCTTTTTCTCAAAAAAAAAAAAAAAAAAAAACTACGGGCCTGACTGGACAGAGAACTGAGGCTAGGCGGAGCCGACATTTCTCTTTTTTTTTTAGGCTGCCCTAGGCAATAGGTGAGCTAGATAGCCGCCTTCACCCAGAAAAGAAACTCCTAAGGCCCCGATTGATTGATATGCGGGGTTTAACGTCCCAAAACCACCATACGTTTGTGATTACGAGAGACGCCGTAGTGATGGGTTCCCGAAATTTCGACCACCTGGTGTTCTTTAACGTGCACCCACTCCCTAAGGTCTGGCCTTAGGGAGTGGGTGCACGTTAAAGAACACCAGGTGGACGTTAAAGAACACCATTTTTGTACGTGTTCCAATGAACACGTACAAAAATGTAATCTTCGATTGAAGTCTGCATGTGAACTTTGTAGTAGCTAGTTAAGATTGAAAATAACGTGTCTCTAATGGATCCTTAATTAGCCATATCGACGACAAATCGGGTGTTTTCACAGCATTCTTCATAAGTCAATTTATTGAAAATATCTTCTCGTTCTTCTTCCATCCAGTCTTAACAGGAGCCGCTTTGCGGATGCTGTCACGGTTTCTCCAGACAAGCGGAACTGATGAAAAAAAAACAACAAAAAACTGTGGCTCTTTACAATGTTACAATGTATTACGTGGACGCTCTGCAGTGACGGCTTTGTTTTGTCACCTAGAGTATTTCACTCCTTTACGCCCCCTTTCCCTTCCCAATTACGGTGTAGCCGCACAAAGGCTACTTCTGGTTGACCTCCCCGAATTTTCTTTATCTTTCATCTCCAGATTGATGACAGCAGACACGTCCTAACTTACGGTGAACGCGTTTCATGGCTCTACACGCAGGTCTCCCGGGCACACTTCAATTTTGAAAACTGTCGCTGGCCATAGGAGGCAGCCGTCGCCTGTCGAGCAGTCGGTGGCAGCGGCAGTCGGGGAAGCCACCCTGCGAGGTCTCGCTGAACAAAGCGGCCCTGGCTGTCAAGTTTGCTCCGCTACCGGTCGCTCAGGGCACGGCGGCGCCAAGTGCAGGTGGCGTCAGAAACTGGGCGTCTTGGCCCACACACCTGCAGGCGCCTTGGTGCTCAAAGCGAGACTGGGTCGGCAAGCCTGGCCTGACGCATAAATAATTTGTGAAAATGTTTTCTTATAAGATACTATTTATACGCGTTAATAAATGACGTTTGATTGCGAACGCTTGTGTTGTTTTTATTTATTTATGAACCCGTACCAGTGCTTTCGTCTCCTTATGATGGGTTGTCACATCATGACGTCACCACATGACGCTGTCACATGGTCAAGCGTGAGCCAATCACGGAGGCAGCGCGAAAGCAGACGAGCTGTAAAAGGCTTGCTTTGCGTCTGATCCCGGAGGCCATGTGAAACCACGTAAAATGTACAACGCTTTCTGAGGAGGTTTGGCGGGGGGTGATGGCAAAAGAGGACGAGTGTATAAACAAGCAAGAAAATGCCGTAAAGATATTTTGCCGTAGTCCAAGTCTAATGCATAAGAACCTTGCGATTTATGTTTTTTTACTTTACTCTCCATATACATGCGCACCATATATTCCAGCACATATCCCACACGTTATAGGAATCGATTATGCGTAGTAGTGTGCGAGGAGCTCCCCACGCAGCGTTTTCTGGGTTTGAGCGAAACGTGACGTGAAGGCCTGCTGTCAGAATCTGTTATTGAAATAAGAAGGGGAGGGGGGGGGGGAGGCTGGCCTGTAGAAGGTCTTGAAATATTTGCATTTTCAGTATTTCCGGTAAAGCACGCCCCTCCATCCAAATTTCTGGGGGTGAGGGGGTCACGTTCCATTGCCTACGCCCTTGCTGACGCGAATAAACCAAACTTGATTTAAATCTGAGTGATCACTCACTGGTTTTGCGTCAACTGAGTAGTTGTGTCCATGTCGTCAGCTTACCAAGCACGCCGACTATACAAACTAAAGTCTAGAAGGTTTCTAGACATCTTGCTTCAATATGACATCGATACTCGTATTAGAGAAGGTGTCAATTTTATTGAAAAGAAGTGCACAATGCGATTAGTTCGTGTGCGCAAGAACAATTCCTAGGCGTACTCTGGCACAAACAAGCGATACTAAATTGTGGCTTGACGAAACGTGGAAGTACATTGATCAGATCTCGGGGTCAAATCCCGGCTGCAACGGCTGCATTTTCGATGGAAGCGGATATGCAGTAGGCCTGTGTGCTCAGATTAGGGCGCACGTTAAAAACTCCAGGTTGTCGAAATTTCCAGAGCCCTTCACTACGGCGTCCCCCATAATCATATGGTGGTTTTGGCA